AATAAATATGGTCTACATAAATAAAAGTGAAATAGTTTTAGTAAAAAACGAATCACTTTGGAATACCTGGCTCGCACGAATGTAGGCAAATGTAAAATAATGCATTGTTTACAGACGCCAAACATAAAACATTCACGGCCTGACTGTATTAAAGCGGAATGGATTCCTATTTTCATTCTCACCCACGCTCTACGTGAATCATAAATTTCTCGTTTTATGACTAGTTCCTTTTATCCTGTTGTTTGCACTCACATCTCCCTCACGAAGCGGATGCTAACGTAATATCCTCCAGTAGATGATGAAAGTTTCGTTTCTCGTGTGTGTGTGTATACCTGTGTACGTCTATGTGTGTGTGGCTATGTTTGTGTCTGTGAGTGTGTGTGTTTTCAAGAAAAGGAGGATTTTCCTGATGTAATTTCTCCTCATGTTCTCATGCGATATATAACTGCTTTTCACGAAATCTATTTAATCTCGTGATCAAAGCATGTGATACAAGAGGTTTCGAGGGTGTTCGAGATTGCTACTGAAGCGCTTGTACTCCAAGTTTGAATCTTGAGAACGATTTACGAAAATTAAACGTTCGAAGAAATGAAAGTTCTTGAAATGAAATTATATTACTTTCCCCAAAGATCTTATTCCATACCAACTTAAAGATAAATAGCATTCTGTATTAAAATAATAGTAAAAAGACGTGTTAAAATGACCCTTTTGTGATTGTTAATTTTGCATATGTTTGGGACCGGATTGAATTTCTTGCAAATCAAACCACTCGATTTAAATTTCATGCAAATCACAAAATAACTAGAATAACAGCACCTACTTTCTCGCGATATTGTTAATGGCTATGTAATATTACAAATTCTGTCAAATACTTCAACTACCATTTGAAGAATTATTAAACAAACGAAACGTGAAAAATACAATACATCTAATTTTTTTTTAATTCAAATGCTTGAATGAAAACAGCATCGAGTTCAGTGTATTCACGTTTTACATAAAATGTATATTAACGCGTAAGAAAGGACAATAGTCATTATCGCCTTCTGTTATTAGTGCGGCGTTACAATAATGGGTTACAAGCAACAATGATAGCTATTTCGTATGAAAAACACATTTTGCAAGTGAGCACTGTTTATACCGCTAGAAATAACATAAAAATAGATAGAAAAAATATAATAATTAAATATAATAATTATATATTCATCAAAATTACTGGGTTTTTACATGCATGAATATTTATTCCCAGATCTTACTAAGCAAAGTGAAATCGTCTATTCCTTGACATTTAACTCAAAGGATGCAATGAAAAATAGGTTTTAAATAGTTTCCAAATGATTAATTTTAAAAATTAAAACAAAAGCTCAAAAAAGAAACGAACAAATAAATATAAAAAATATACACATTATAATTTACGTAGTAAGGAACTGCTCCAAAACACCCAAAATTACTTTTACGAATCCCAAAAAATATGGAGCGGACATCTTATGTTTGAAGCCTAATAGCTCAAAAAATATTGGTATTTTCATAAAATTCAACGTGACCTTACTTGAAGATCTGTTTTTGATAAACAGATTAAAAAATGTGGAAAAAAAATACATTATTTTTTTATCAAATATTTTTTATCTTCATAATTGTAATTGTGGGAAGTCGCCGAAGAATATTGAATACATTCAATTTTCGAAAAATCATGGTTTTCAACCAGCATGAAACCTATGCCATTGTCTTAAACGTCCTTCAGACTATCCACCAACAACATTTCATGAAAAACAATGGAGCCGTTTTTTGAGAAAAAATTGTTTGAACAAAAATTAAAAATTGCCTATATTTCACGCAAAAGTGCACGAACAATACTCAAATTGTCAAAAAATTGTACATGACCTTAGTTCAAAATCAATCTAAAATTTAAATTTAGATTTCATTAAGGGGAAAAATATCTATCTGTAATATTTTAGTAGTAGAAAGACGCCGAAAAAATCAGTTTTCAATGAAAATTAGATGTGCATCATTCTCTTAAACATTCTTTACAGTATCCAAAAACAAAATTTAATTACAATCGAAGGCGCCATTTTTTTAATTTTGAAAATGTGGCAATAGTTTCATGTAAAGTACACCCAAAATTATATTATCAATTTGAAATTCAAGGAGCCGCGACGTCAATCAGATCGATCGGGGAGTATCAGTTTTGGAGACAATCGGCTGAACGGTTTAGTCGCTAGCTATCCGCTTGTTCAGACGGACAGACGTTTTGCCGTCAATCGACATTTTAGTGTCAAGGATCACAAAACAGAGATTCTGGATTCACCACATGTTAGAGGATTTTTAAAATTTAGCAACTGGATTTATCCACTTTTTCGTTACCAGAGCCATGTCATAACAGTTTATCTGCAGAAAATTCGCCGTTTGTTCGCCCAGCATTACTTAACTTTCTCTTCTTAGGAAGTTCCTTCTTAAGGGCGAGAAAGTAAAAATCTCAAAAACCACTACAAATATTCGATTCAATTTTCTTCCACATGTAGAACAAGAGTATTTTAAAAGAAAGGCATATATATTATACAATATTTATATAATGGCAATACAATATTTTAATAATATTTAAATTAAATGTGAGAAAAAAATATGCTGTGCAGCATTAGAGTATCAGATTGCATTTAATGAAAAGCAAAATGGTAGCTATTGTTATTCAATCGTTTGTTGTCCGAATTGACCAACAATGAAAGAAAGGATTTCAAGGTATTTGTCAGAATAATGAAAGCAAACATTGTATGAAGGTAACTATATTACGCTTACTTCTGAAACTTTCTACAAATGAACATAAAATAAGGATAAGAAAAATATATAGTTCCGTTTTAAATACCATTTTCTCACTTTTAAATGCCTATTTTACACTTTTAAATGTCTATTTTCCCTGCCTATTTCTACAATGTTTGTGCCTATAAATCCACAGCTAATTATATGAGGAACATCTTTCAGTGGCCAAGTCATTATCGTTTCTCAACTTGCGCGAAGTGTCAATAATGTTCACTACCTTACTCAATGATACGCATCCGAAGACATATTGGAAAGGATGGTAAGAAAATTATTTAATTAGATGGTAATTTATTTGGATACAAATTAGTAGGACCTAGATTTTTGTGATAAAATAATTTTAGATGTTTTAAAATAGCTTTCTTCAATAAAAAATAAACACAAATTTTAATTGACTATGTCTCTCGTGAAGTACGAACCATAGCATTTATTTATGTTTTCTGTATTAATCAGGGGGGAAGAATTTTATCGGGTTAGTTTTATCGAATCCTTTTTATTGCCTGAACGTGCCGTAGCACGTTCTGTACAATGATATTATAGAAAATCAATATTGAATTAAATTAATATTTGCTTACCTCATTGGATTACAAGGTACAAAAGTAAGTGCTGTAGAAAAGTTACAATAAAATATATGTACTACAAGGAAATTCGAAAACCCGAAAAATATTGTTTCATGTCTTTCAGTACTTAAAGAAGTTTAACACATTCTAGAACAAAAGTCATAGTTCGTTGTGATCGTAAAGAAATATATTTCTGAAAATATAAGTCGACTATTTCATATTTACCGAGATCTATGTATGTTATATTGAACTACAACAGAAGAGTCTGCTCTCTCCCTTTGCTTCAAAACGTAATGCATCACATATAATTATAATCACTAATGTGTTCGTAAAGGGATGTATGTGTCGGATGATTATTGCACATTGCTGTTACTTACGAACTTACATTAATGTTTGCATTTAAAATGCAGCCAATATTCGAACTTAAAAAATGGCAATCTTCGCTTTTCCATCTACAATCACCTAGTTATTGCATGCTTGATCGAGCTAGACGACGAAACGTCAATTGCTTCAAATACATCGATTGCAACTCGCACAACAACACGGCTAAAATCAACTAAATGGAACTCTATAAATTTTAAGGTTTTATTGAAATATATACTAATAATATTGTTTTTTTGCTCGCAAATAAGCTGATTTGGACGACGTGTGCGTGCACGCTGCATTTACCGGGGCTCAGAATCATTATCTCGATGGCAAGTGTATGTAATTTTATCAGATCAGCATTTAGCTGAATCCGATTTTTATCCCCCAGGGTTGTTAGCTCTGGGGGTATGGAAGATGAAAAGACGATGGTAAGGGGTGTGAATACGACACACACATACAGACAAACACAAATACACCCATGCCTGAGGTGGGACTCAAACCCGCGATCTTTCGGTCTGAGACCGCTACGGCGCTAATGCCTTGGCGATCGGATAACTATTATTATTATTATTATTATTATTATTATTATTATTATTATTATTACAAATACTATGATTTCCTGTTGTCATTCAATGACTCGGTTCCCAATCGAGTCTTTCCAACAGTTTTATTTCATGAGACCATCTGGCATGCTCTTCCACCTAAGTCCGTTAACTATTAACTTTATTTTAAATACTGAAAATACGTGACTAATCCCTAGATCGCCAACAAAAAGAAAACACAATTTAATGGGAACAATTGTAGCAGAGACAGTACATGTACTATTTTTTCACGTAATTGGCCACCGTAATTGAGATATTTGTCATTCTGTGCGATCAACATTTGCTACCCTAACCTGTAGAAATCTGCGGCCTGGAAAAGGTAGCAGGGTTTGACAACCCCATGCAACTGTGAATACGCATAATGCGGAATTTGAACGGAAGTGAATTTCTTGAGGCGAAAGAATAGATTGAATTCGCTGGGGAGAGATACTGGCTATAGGGTGAATTGGTTGAACCAGAGCAAGTGCTGCAAAATATGCGTTGTGAGTCGAGCGTATGTCCATGAAATTATTTTCTTTTCGTCGACGATCTTGAGAAACTTACTTTCTGGTTGCGAATGGTATATTCTCTATCGTACCTGATCTAAGTACGAGCAGTAAATGTAAAAGCCTATTTTCCTCTTATTTATTCATAATACACTTGGGTTCTAACCTTTTCGGGGAAAATTCATAATGGTTGAATTTTTTGTTATACTGTTAAATTTATTTTATGCGGGAATGTTTTGTCGTATTGCATCACTTCGTTTTAATACCTTAACTCTCAAAGTTTACGAATCTTACTGTATCTTGATATTCTGCGTTTAAAACAGTCTCCATCTGTTACGACAAGGTATTTCCATATTACGTGTGTTATTACACACGTAATTTCGTTCGCGCGTTTATGAAATGTAAATATCTGAGTCACTTTTTAAGATTCTGTTTTAAAACTCACTTTATCTCTTCTAAAGTTTGAAACCAGAACTATAATTAACGTTCTTGCAACAGCTTTTATTTGCGTCAGAGTATGACCTGTGAAAAAGCAAAAACACACGGAAACAAGTTGGCTATCTTTCTTTTTTGGTCTCTGTTTCTCCACCTTTAGAAACATTATTTTCTCCTTGACGTTCATTTTTCTATTCACTCTGACGTCAACAACCTGAGTTCCGCACAGATGAGTTCTCTTCAGAAGTTGCTGCTCAGGTAAATAATCGAGTTCCCGATGAAAGCGAAGAAATTCCCATTTCGGCTTCAAAGAGAAACCTTTTTAAAATAAACAGTTATCAATTTCCTGCTGGATAAGTCTAAACACTTGATTTTTTTAATATATATTCTCTAAGTTAATATAATGCGTATGCTAGAATGGGCATCATATCTGCGTTTATTATGAATTATGAGTACGATTTGCGTTTAATATCGTCCCGGTGTATTAATTGATATTTCGTTAAGATGTGATGCGCGAATAAAGACTCTTGATTATTCAAGAAGACTGTTTTTGATTTTTGAGTCGAATTGAATGGTTTATTTTTCTTAATGTTTTATTATTTTTTCAAATGATGGACACATTAGAGTATTTTAATTAAGTCAAAGGCAATACTATGTTTAAAAGAGTCTCTGATGGGAGTTTAGTGGTCTTAGAACGGAAACGTGGTTACTGAGCTGAGGAGTGGTGAGGTGTGGTGAGCTGAGATAAGGCGATGTTAAGTTTGGGGACGTGAAGTGAAGTGTGATATAACAAATCAAAGTGGAATTTCCAAAGGCATATAACATTGAACAGCACGGCTTGTGAGTGGAATTGCGTAATGCATTTAACGGAATGAATCCAAAAATAGTATCATTTATTGCTTGCTCATGAATTAAAATTGGAATGTTGTTTGCGGTGTCCTTTCCCTGTGAAGTTCGTCTGAGAGGACCACAGGGAATCATCAAAGCTCAGGAACATTGGCCGTGTGCGCCCTCTAACAGTCCACGAGGGCACGGCGAGCTGTGTGAGAGCGGCTTCCGCCTCCACAAATAGTGCTCGGGCGATCCGACAGTAGCGACCAGCAGCGCTCGATCTCAGCCTGCGTTGAACGCAGTGTCTCGGGACGGGGAGGGAATGCCATGGGCGGTCTCGTAATTGTTTCAATAACTTGAGATTATGTGGGCTCGCAAAAACAAAATGGTGTTGAAGTTGTTTTTGCACAAACACACTCATAAAAAGGGGTGTTTCATAGCAGAAAATATCAAAAATACTACATTCCAAAGGTAAAATTATCACTTACAGATGGTCTACTAAAAATAATATCGTTTGATAGTGTTTCGTGAATGAATTTTTCAAAAATTTAGACTTGATTTTTTTATGATAACAATAGTTATATAAAAAATGAATGAGTATTTACATTTGATTTCCAAAGGGAACTCGAAGGTTACCCCCACAAAAATGATTTATTCAACAAATATTTATTTTTATTAACAATGTAATTGATTGTCTATGATAAATTCTATTATAGTTAAAACTTATTAAAATATTTAATTAATAATAATTAAAATATTTTTTTTCTAAAAATATTAATTGTAATAAATGCTCTATACAGTTGTGTAGCAGTGGTTCTTAGTCAGAACTATGCTTAGTGCTTGACCTTGTTTCACTTTCCGAAAACTTATCTTAGTTGTGTAAAGTTAAATTTCGATTAAGATCATTAGAGACGCGAAAGTGCCGTTATTTGGGTAACAACGAAGCTGCTTCGCTGCCTCGGATGGACAATTATGATCTACAACCAAGAATTGCATCCTTTAATTCAGTGATTCAGTATCATATTCATTAGAATTCATGATATCTGTTCAATTGCAAGAACTATCATTTGTTTTCTATTTTCTGTATTAGTAAAAATATTCGTTTCCACTTATCAAATCGGATAGAATACTCCAAAGTCGAAATAAGTAATGTATGCGTATTGAATTATCGTAGAAATAAATCTTCTAATTCTAAATTATAATACTTTTCTGACATTATCAATACAGATCCTAAAAATAGTTTTTACAAAAAATGATTCTTTGATGTTTCGACCCTGGTTGGAGTCGTTTTAAAAAAATCGATGGTCCATGTTTGTTGAAAATACTTCGTAAAAACCAAATAGCATCTTATTAAACATTGTCAATATTATAAAAAAAAAACAACGATCATGTATGCGAAGTCGCAAACATCATTTGACCAACTGAAGGTCATCTTACGTCACGCCGCAAGGGAGACGTCCGTCCAAGCTGGGCAGATGTATAGCTAATCCGTCTGGTGCGAAGTGGACACAGCGATTGGCTTACGTAAGAGGCGCCGTCCGCTCTTTTTACCGGCGAGCAGCGGCGCCAGCGGTGCGGCTCGTGGACAAGGAAGGTGGCGGGAGGGGGGGGGGCGCGTTGCACACAATCCCCGGCGGCGGCGCTGCTGCAGCGCCCAAGGGCAAGGCCGCCCGCCGCTCGCGCGAATAAGGTCAGCGTCGATGATACGGAATGCGTCGTGCTGCCGCCGCGACGGCCGGCGGCTTCTGGCGGCTTCTGGTGCTCCTACAGAAACACCTGGGGGGACTCTTTGCCCAACTTATGCTTTTCTTCTGGATGTTGGGTTTGTTGCCTAGCGATCAGTGCACTAGCTATATCTTTTATTAGATACTAGAGTGCACGTCCCAGTCTCTCCTGATAGGAAACACGCGAAACGATCTGTGTTTCTTGCAGCAATGTTAATTTCTTTTACATCTCGATCCATCGTTCCTTTGATATACATTTAATACATGATAATAAATAATAATAATAATAATAATAATAATAATAATAATAATAATAAATTGTGATTCAAGATGTTGAGCAATGTAAAACTTGCAAATATCTGGGCATTGAAGAATGTGAGAACGATACAATGAAAGAGAGATTTCGCAAGGAGTATTACAGAAGCGTGAGGCTCATCTTGCAGCCTTCTGAACTCTCGTAATATCTGCAGTAGTAGTTTCTCTTTAGCCGAGTTTAGTTTCGGATTAGTGGACTGGACTGGCTGAATAAGAAATTCTTTAACATGGATCGTAAAACCAGAAAACTGCTTACAATGCATCATGTCGCCCACATTCGAGCTGATGTACCACATTCGAGCTGAGATACGAACTGTTGTAAAAAAGTCATTATTCCATGAAAAATTCCACAAAAAGTACTCATATTTTGAAAAACAAAAACAAAAACATGATCTCATTTAAAGATTTAATTGTTAAGAACAGATTTCATTAAGAAAAAAATCTCTATCTTCAATATTGTGACTACAGAAAAAATATTTTTACTTCTAAATATACGCCCAAAAATATTTTAACTTCTGCAATCTTCGAAAATTTAGGGAGTTCAGTGGAAATCAGACTTGCGCAATTTTAATAAACGTACTTCGCTTTTCCTGAACAAAAAGTAAAGAAAAATCTGGAGTTATTTTTGAGAAAAAAAATTGAAAATATTGTTGCGACTTGATTTAAAGTACCTCAAAAAATAGAAATATCTGTTTCAACATCAAAGACACGCGACATCGGTGAATATAAATATTGGTAAATATCCTGCTAAAGGTTTAGTAGCTAGCGGTTTACACAGACACACGGACCGATGGACAACACCCACAAAACGTGGATTCTGGACGTACACTGTGGATGTACACAGCGATTTAGAGGAAGTAATTTACTATCTATCTATTAGGGACATGATGCATCCACTTTTCTCTTTACCATTGCCCGGCAATAAGTGTATTCTGTCGAAATTCGCAGTTTTTTCCCTCAGCATTACAATATTTTCTCTAAACTACGTTAATAGTATGCGAGAAATTATTAATAATAATAATAATAATAATAATAGTTATTATTGTTATCAGCTTAATTATTATATTAAAAGTTTAAAATTACTGATAATCGTTCCAGGTTGGAATGAGAATTGGCTCAAAGAGTCCTTCCTTACATAGAATATCGGGACGTCTGTACTACTCTTCCGCCGGCGCACTACTATGAGGAAGCAATAAAAGAGCTACTTTAGAGGAAAAACATCTGGGAATAATTCTACACAATTGGTATAGACGAAAGCTAGTGCGCAGAGGATTCTAATGCGGAAATTTCTTCAAGGTTATCGTATATGTTTATGTAAACACGCAAACAGATACTCAAGTCGACGAGGATGAGAATGTAAGTTTTTCACAATTAGTTTGGAAATCATTTTCAAATTACACCTACATCTAGACGGAATATCCTTAATTGTAAAATAACATTCTGAAGCTAAATCAGCCTTTTCTCGTCGAACAATACACAGCTAAAGAAGAATGAAATGGGAAATTTCACAGGAATAATTGAATAGGTTATTTTTTAAAACCCGCAAGTCTGAATCTGTAAGGATGTGGGGAAACGAGAAAACTAACAATTAAGTTCATAAAGAACTTCTTTTTAAATTCTGATGCATAAATCTTGATTGAAAATGCCATCAAGACATGTAATTTACGTTTATCAGTAGTACAATAGTCGCTGGTCTAGTTTATGTCTTACGGAATTTCAAAGACAAATCAGGAACTTTTTAGCTAAACATGTAAATAAATACACATTCATTGCAGGTTCAGTTTGTAATTTGACACATTTATTACAATATTATGTAAAATGACAAAGTTCACCTACATCAAACATGATTCGTACGACAGAAACAGTTGCTTGAAATATGTGTTTCTTTGATAGAACGTAGGAATATTTCCGTACTGAACATACCTTTTAACCAATTTCTCTGCCAGAGATATCCCAATCATTCAAACATACATACATACATGCATTCATACATACATACGAACACACATACACAGTCATACTTCA